ATTGGAGGGAACAGGACAATCCTGTTTGGACAGGGAAACAAAAAAAAATAAATAAAAAAAAAAAATAAAAAAAAAATCGGAATTTCTCTTTTGTTCGATCTTGCCATCAAATGCACATCTGGAAAATCACATTTTCTTACGTGAACTGAGAAGCTCCGGGTGTCTGAGACCATCTGGAATGATATAGTCTGTACAGCTCATGTAAATTGTGGATAAAACTTGTAAATCTTCTTGAGCCCAAGTCAGAATCTATGCACAGAGCAAGTGCAGAGCTCTGACCTTTGAAACAGACCTGGTCTGATCAGATGTTACAGTCATGTGGTTCCACCGAATGGATCCAGAGACAACATAAAGTCTTTAATCTACAGAGAGATACATTCTGAGTTTGGATTCCTTTGTAGATCAAACGCCCTGGTGTGGGGCTTTTGGAGGGAAGGTGCACGAGACTATGGGGAACAAATGCTGCCTGAGAGCCAGGCAGAGAACCCCGTAGTTCGTTCGCCGAAGCACCCAGAAGTTTACTGGCAAAAGCACTAATGGTTCTGAAACAGTTTTGGGCATAGGACCATGTGTGCAGCCGGTCAGAACGTTAACAAGGTGGCGATTCCCCTGTACTGCATGGGTCTGAGCGCTATTTGGACAACTTGGGAGCTCAGATCAGGGGTATATAAATGGGGAAATAATTTGTAGATTTATTGGGTTTTATGTATATTTTGGGGTGTTTTAGATTTTTATTTTACCTCTTTGTTTGATAGATAATTTGGCATTATACATCAGTTCCATGTATGAGGGGTTACCATAGGGATTTTACAGATGCAGAGCATGAGGACATCCACGGTCTGTTAAGAAACCAAAAGTTGGCTACCCACCAGGAAGTATCCACCAATGTGTAGTGTTCTTTTCAGTTAAATGAGGGGGGTTGTAGAGATCAATGTTTTAGTATTCTGAATAAGGGGTCTGTTTATGAAGAACTAGTGGGATATCCTGCCTTCTTACTACATACAAGACAGTCTTATTTATACCTGTAGACCCCAGCACAGCTCACCTGGAAATGTTCGTCATTTTCTGGTATAGTCTTTTCCAAAGATACTGTAGCCATGATTGCATTGCTGTCTCTCCCATGCTTTAGGGTTCGATACTCCTTATAGAGCGCTAGAGTAGGAGACAAGATGGAAGAGTCTTTTAAAGAAAGCGATTTTATCCCTTTCTAGAACAGTGACACGCCAAGCAGTCACTGGAACAGTGACATTACAAGGGATTTATCCAATTCTGAAACTAAAAAGGAGTTATATGTGAAACTAGAACTAATCAAACTAATTCTATAGGGAAAAAAAAATTCAATATAGTCACAGAACAATCTATAGTAAAAATCTACACTTGCATATATTTGAATATCCCTAAATGCAAAATGTGAAACTGCTAAATTAAATGTCCATTATAAAAGAAAATACAAAGCTGGAGTTACAGGAAATCTTTGAGGAGAATGAAGAGTGCATGAGAAAATGATCGGGAAGAATCCACAGGCCCTACAACTTTCTAAGTGACAGCCCACCAGGAAGAGTACCTCCCCACACTGCTGCATTTCCCACAGAAGATGGAGAGGGTATTGGCCCAACTCTGCATATCAGCATGGTTATCTACCCCACCAGACAAACTGTGCATACTGGTCTCTTTGTTTGGGGGCTGGTTTGTGAAGCAACCCCATTTGATAGTGTGGCCTCTTACTCATGGTTGCTCACTGGCTACATTAAGATGCCTCAAGCTCAGGCCTTTCCACATGGAATTGGTTAAGAGTGTTCGCATGCGTCATAAGTCTGACAAAGCTTGGTACCCACAGTATCTCCATCAATATCCCTCCTATTTACCGCAGGACACCTTCAGTAATTATAGCTTGATATCGCCCCTTTCACCCAAACACTAGAGTAGGGTGAAACACAACTGGCTTTATTTAGGGACAGGCACACATTTATACTCAGAACTCCCTTGACATACAATACATTATAGCCGTATTTATAAAAAAAAAAAAATATTAAATAAAAAAAAGGGAGGATATAAAGCAAGACCATCACTAGCGTTTTGTAGTTTCACCGACTGTCTGCAGCCAGGTTGTGAATTAAAAACATGTCAGTGCTGTTACATGTAGGTATCTTTGAGAATAAAAGTCTTTCAGGCGTGAGGGGGCATGGCTAAGCCAGCAGGCTTATGGTGCAGCATATTGCATAACATTTATTGGTGCCCGGAGATTTATGGTTTCTGGGTCTACAATGACTAGCAAGTTTTATATATACTCTGTTACCCTTTCCTTGTATAAACAGCCAGATATAAAACTCCCAGCAGCCACAAGCTCCCAACTAACCAGCAAGAAAATGCAAAGAAAGCCTCAGAAGCTGCAAACTGCCCCAATAGGTCAGTTTATTCAACAATGAAAATGAAACATTGAAGCAATAAATACATGTAAATGGCAAAAATAAAGCAAGATAAATTAAGGAAATAAATGGACTGTGCTTTGTACGGATGTTGGGAGACAAAAAATGATCTGGAACTGAACACCTGGGCAAGCACTACAAACGTTCAGTAGAAGGAATTGATTATTAACATCTTTTTAAAACTAAAACCAAAAAACGTTATACGGCCTCGGATGCATTTCCTGTCTGACTCAATATCCCCCAGACAGAAACAAGTCCCAGAGTGTCTACAGCTAAACAGTAAGAGACTCACCTTTTGTTTCCTCTGGAGCATTATCAAGATCTACCTGCAAAAAAATAAAAATAAAAAAATAAATAAAAGCAGAAAGCCAGTGTTACATTGATAATGCTAAAAATATATTTGGGGATAAAGGGCATATGCATGTCAACCAACTCCTAGAGTAGCCCTGCATTCAATGCATTAACCCCTTAAGGACCAAACTTCTGGAATAAAAGGGAATCATGACATGTCATGTGTCCTTAAGGGGTTAAATGGTTACTCTAACCAAAAACTAGTCTTTTTAATAAACATTGCTTTTGGTTACAGTAACCCTTTGAGGTGGTCCACCCCCAAAAAAACAAAAACCCACTAAATGCGAAAACTCACTTTTGTTCCATCTACAATTCTAAGGTCATCCCTCATACTTATTCTCCTGGTCAGACCTTATTCCCTCTTGCCAGAAAGAGAGGGAGGAAGGTCAGAGAGCACAAGGTTAACACCGTTGGGGAGAGCCATACCACCATTGATAGACTGGCACCAGCACGTAGTCAGACACCAATGTTGCACAGAATTAACAGCCAGCCAGCCTGAAACATTGCTTTGTGCTGACATCTAAGGGGTTAATTTCTGTATATGAAACACTTCAAAGCAAAACGATGCAGACTTTAGGCTCCAAGTTCATTTCAAATCCCTGATGTGGTTATGGAGCGGTAACTGAGTAACTCTTTAAAAAAAGGGACACGGGAGATCTTCACTTCATTGTAATGAAGTGGTTATGGCCAAAAGAGGTTCCAGACGCCAGCTTACCATAAGGATTTAAACGGTTATCGACTGGTTTAACCCTATACTTTCGAAGATGTAGGACAATCATACTGTCCAGATAGTTCCTTTGTTGGTGCCAGGCTTCCCATTGACATTTCTGTGGATTGGCTCAGGAAAGGAGCCCTTTACTCAGAGAGCCTTGGGTGCAAGACCTTAAACAATAATCCAATAATAAAGTTGTAGCGGATGGCACTGGGCTGTCCTGAGAATTACATGGGTTTGAATGCATTTGTTTAAAATAGCAAATTTCTATGTGTTAACTGTATTGTATTCGTCTGAATGTTAGGTAGTTTAATTCCCTTAGTTTGTTCGAATGAAACTACCGAATAGTCAGACCTCCCCTGTGTGAAGTGTGCCTTCAATTAACCGTTGCAACATTGTTGCGAACGGGTAATTGACAAGCTGAGTAGCCGTCTTTTGTTCTTGGGGGCGGCCATTTTAAAACTCCCGAACAGCGGTGTTTTGCCGTCGAGTGTCTGGAACTCAAATTGGGCACTCGACTAGGCGAACACTGCTGAGACCTCCACAAGCCTGGTCCGTTTGGTTCCAAGCTACCGAACGGCCCCTCATTCGGTAGATAGAAATAACCGAACGAGGGGATTCAGGCGAACCCTCCCTAGTCTCTATAGCTAGAGGCTTTCGTGCAATTTATTCCGACTCCAGGGCCCCATCGCATGGAACCCCATTCGGCTGTTCTCTCCAGTGCGGTCGGTCATTTTATTCCCTCCATGAATTTCCCGAACCCCTGGTCTGATCTGGGTGATTTTTGGATATGTTCACCCAGATCAGGGCTACCAGGGGATGTATAATTTAAAGTGGTACCCCTAAATTTAGGGGTACATCCAGAAACGGGGGGGGGGAATTGGTGTGCTGGATAAGGGGATTATGATGCAGGCTGAGGGGAGGAGATGTGTGGGAGGTTACCAGAGCAGGATTGGCTACTGTACCAATTAATGGAAATCCCTCCATTGCCTGGGAGCAGGCTTTAAAAGGCCACTGTGTGAATAAATCTTTAGTTCTGCTCCAGATACTGTGTGTCGTCCAGTTATTGGGATTGCTGCTGGGATACTGCTGTGTTATTTTGCCTGCTGGATATTTTACCCTATGGATTTATAATTGCTTGTTCCTGAACCTCCCTGGGATCTAAAGTGGAGATAGGCTGTGCAATACCAGCTCTCCGCTACAAAAGTCTCTTTATATTCAGACCTTGTTTGGCTTTCTCTGATGCTGCTCTAGAAACTCAGCTTCCCACTTCTTCATCAAAAGCTTCAACTCTTCATGGCGCTGCATGGTGGGACCTGCTGGCAGGACAGACATGGAAAATAATGAGCAGAGCAGTGATGTGCATAGAAGAGACCGTGTGTCTCATACCATCCTGTGAGGAAACAGGAGAAGGTTAAAAAGTCAAACAGCCAGAGCCACTGGATCACGCTCCTAGACACCTCTATAGCGGTACAATTACAAGCTACTCAAGTGTTGTGGAAATAAGGTCTGCACATATTTCCTAGTTAGTGAAAAATGTCTATTTACTCATTCCACGATATATTATATATAAAGCTATACACACATGCTCTAATCAAGATGGCTGCTAGAAGCTTCTAACCCCTTCCTCCCCCTGCCCCTTTAAACACCGACTAACTACCTCGTGCAGCAAGATGGCGCCGGGAAACCGTGGGAGACCCTCATGGACCTGGTGACATGAAATATTGACATATTTTTAGCTAGTAAAATGTCTATTTACTTCATTTAGTTATACTTAATATTATTCAATAAATTACTAAACTGACCACTAGATGTCACTCAGGAGTACCCCACCCATCGACCAAACACTCTAATTTTCAAGATGGCGCTGGAATCCTGGGGGAGAACTCCATGACGACAGTAATGACATAAGAAGGCACACCCTGTAGGACGTGCTTTGAATAAAACACTTAACACTTAACCAATTATTGATGTATTATTCCATGTTATCTCTGACAATGCTTATGATGTAATTTTGCTTTAAAAGGGACCTGCCGTCCCCTCTGAATAAACTTTCCTCAAGTTATTCAACAACCTAGAACCTGTGTCTGGTGTGAATTACTTCAGGGAGCGTGCACGCATTGTTTCATTGATTTGGCCAGGGGCAGATACACAAAGAAATAATCAATACTTTAATTGATTTTTCCATTTCAATAGTATAGTGCAAACAAACACAATACAAACACTAGCATACATAACGAAGATCTCCATCAGCTGGCAAAATCTTTGCTATGACAGAGGTTTCCTGAATGAGTGTTGGAAAGAGGAATTCATTTTAAGTTCTAAAGGATTTTTTTCCTTCACATTTTGTTTTATTTGGACTGGATTTAGTTCTTCAGTAGGCTGTTGGGAACACAAAGTTTAAAACTGTGGCAGGGTAGCCCGAGTATACCTTGGTTCAGCAACATCTACCAAGTACAACAATGCCCCCAGTGTACAGGTTTTATGTTTTTTTCCCGCAAATGTAGGGCTTCCCCTTTTCCATATTGGCACATTGACATTTGCCGGATTGGTTTGCTGGGCCTATGTGAGACTGTATAGCAGCACAGGAATGAAAGTTAACCCCATCATTGCATACCATTTGTAAACAAAAACCCACTGTATTCAAAATGGGGTATGTCCAGTATTTTGTAGTAGCCACAAATTCAGTTTCCAGAGCTCTAATTAACCCCAGTACGGATCAGGTAAGCCCACGGTCCTTAACCCCTTAAGGACACAACTTCAGAAATAAAAGGGAATCATGACGGAATATTTCCGTCATGTGCCCTTAACGTGTTAAGGACCATTTTTTGTCGGACGTATCTGATACATCCGCAGTCCCTAAGGGGTTAATAACCAAATCACCACCGCTTTCATCAAGTGATCCTATTTATATGCCCATACATGAAAGGCTACCAACGTTTATAGCGTAATTTATTAAGTGTTCTTACATATCAAGACCACACACACACACACATTATTCTTATTATAGTCAAATTTACCACCCTAACTCCTCCCACAGAGTTTACAATACATAGACCGTAATATCACAAACGTGCGGATTGCTATTACTTTGTGGAACGTTTCATCAAATGGTTCACGGAAGATAGTCATTCTTGTGGCAAAGTTGGTCCCATAGGAATGAATGTCAAAATGTTCAAAACTAGAGTGGGAGCTGGCATAAGCTGAAAAATCTGGACATTATTTCTAAATTGCCACCACTCCCTCATTTTCAAGCCCATCTACACAAATCTTGTATCAAAAAGTTCAGCTATCCCTGCTGCCACTAAAAATGTCCACTGCTAAACCATAGTCCTGATCGTTTTCACAATATGACCATTTGTTTGCAACTCATGCCGTCCATTGACATTCATTGAAACGCCACTCTAGCCAGCCCAAACTTGAAAGGCAATATCTAAACTGTGACTTCATTTTTAATACGTCAGAGACAAACTATGTATCAAAATGTAGGTCTGGGTCTTGGGATTCTCACAAAAAGCTCTTAGCTGTAGGATTTATAGTTTTTAACCCCTTAAGGACGGAGCCAAATGTACACGTTGTGAACAAAACAAAATGTAAACAAAACCTGGCATTTGCGCTACATGTCTGTCCAACCGTAATACACCTCTTTCATAGTAAATGCACCCACCCTTATTATATATCATTTTATTCAGGGGAAACAGGGCTTTCATTTAATATCAAATATTTAGCTATGAAACATAATTTAATATGAAAAAAATGGGAGAAAATACGATTTTATTGGATTTTTTTAGTTCTACATGACATTTAAACGGTCAGTGTCATAATACTGTTTGCTTTTACTGCAATAAAATACACATATTTGTATTCAGCAAAGTCTCACGTGTAAAACAGTACCCCCTATGTACAGGTTTTATGGCGTTTTGGGAAGTTACAGGGTCAAATATAGCACGTTACATTTGAAATTGAAATTCGCCAGATTGGTTACGTTGCCTTTGAGACTGTATAGTAGCCCAGGAATGAAATTTACACCCATAATGGCATACCATTTGCAATAGTAGACAACCCAAGGTATTGCAAATGGGGTATGTCCAGTCTTTTTTAGTAGCCATTTGGTCACAAACACCGGCCAAAGTTAGCGTTAGTATTTGTTTGTGTGTGAAAAATGCAAAAACGCCAATTTTGGCCAGTGTTTGTGACTAAGTGGCTACTAAAAAAGACTGGACATACCCTGTTTGCAATACCTTGGGTTGTCTACTATTGCAAATGGTATGCCATCATAGGGGTAATTTTCATTCTTGGGCTACCATAGGGTCTCAAAGGCAACGTAACCAATCTGGCTAATTTTAATGTGAAAAAATTGAAACACAAGCCTTATATTTGACGCTGTAACTTTTGAAAACAACATAAAACCTGTACATGAGGGGTACTGTTGTACTTGGGAGACTTCGCTGAACACAAATATTTGTGTTTCAAAACAGTAAAAAGTATCACAGCAATAATATTGTCCGTGTAATGCTGTTTGTGCGTGAAAAATGCAAAAAACGTCACTTTTACTGGCGATATCATCGCTGTAATACATTTTACTGTTTTGAAACACTAATATTTGTGTTCAGCGAAGTCTCCCGAGTAGAACAGTACCCCCCATGTACAGGTTTTATGGTGTCTTGGAAAGTTATAGGGTTAAATATAGTGCTAGCAAATTAAATTCCCTTTACTTTCGGCATGGGTTGTCATGCAGGTCCTGCTAATTGTAATTAATTAAGATACCTAATTATGTAAAAATATTACAAAAATATATATGTAGAATCAATATATGTATATATATACGTATGTGTATATATATGTATATATCTATATAATTTTTTTTAAATATTTTTATTTATATATAGGTATATATATAGTGATATATACGTATATATTTATGTGTATAAATATATATATTATTTCGCTCTATGTGTATTTTGATATATATATATATATATTAATTTCACAATACAGTTAGAACGAAATAACACACATCTATATATTTTTTAATTATTTATTTTTAATTATTTTTGTAATTTTATTTTTTAACGTATTTATATTTTAATTTTTTTTATAATATATATAAATATATATATAACAATAATTATATATATATTTAATCAGTATCAGTGTACGTGTAATTTGATATTAATATATATATATATATATATATAAATATATATATATATATATATTTATATATATATATATATATATTAATAGTAAAATACACCTAGACGGTGTACATGTGTATATATATATATATATGATCTAAGTATATATTATTTATTTTTTTTACACTATTTATTTCATTTTTATTTTCAGCCAGCAGGGGGACCACCTGTCATTACAGGCAGCCCCCCTGCCGGCAATACAGAAGCCAGCTATCCCCGGCCATGTGATTGTGGGGTCCTCACTAGGACCCCACTCTCACACGGCCGGGGGGCTTCCTGGAGGACGGTCGTGCCGCGGGGGGCTCCCTGGGAGTCCCTCCCACCGCGATCGCCGGCGTGGTACCGCCGGCGACCGGGTAAGTACAGAAAGACCGGAGGGCGTACTATTACGCCCGGCGGCGTTTAGAGCCGCCTATTAGAGGACGTAATAGTACGCCCTCCGGTCTTAAGGGGTTAAAATACGACCGTTTGAAAATGGCAACCACCATTGAGCAGTTTGTTTTTAACCGCTCTTCTCTGCCCTATTTGGAATCTATTAGTTCCTGTTGGCAGTTGGTGGAATGTTCGAGGGATTTGAAAGTTCTTCTCTGCCCTTGCTGTAGAGTGAGTGAACCACACGCCAACCTTTCCACAGTTTCTCCACCCACTTCAGTTGTAGACTACTGGTGGAGGTAAGAACACACTACACAGTTTCCCCAGAAATTGTAGCTTTTCTAGTTTTTAATATTACGATGCTCCAGAAATCTCCTTTTAGCCCCTTAGTAACCAGACCATTTTTTAAAATTTTCTTTCTGTTAAGGACCAGGGTTCTGTTTACATTTCTGCAGTGTTTGTGTTTAGCGGTAATTTTCCTCCTACTCATTTACCCACACGTTATATACAGTTTTTCCTCGCCGTTAAATGTCTTTCTAAAGATACCATTATTTTTATCACATAATGTAAATTTACTATAAATTTTTTTTTGTATAAAATATGAAAAAAAAACCCCACACACACTTTTTCTAACTTTGACCCCCAAAATCTGTTGTGCATCTACAGCCACCAAAAAACACCCGTGCTACGTAATTTTTACATTTTGTCCGGATTTTAAAAATACCCAATGTTAAAAAAAAAAAAAAAAAGCCAAAAGCATGTTAACAAGTTATAGTGCAATAAGTACAAGTAACACTTTGCTATTTCCAAACCATTTCTCCCCCCAAATTTTCTCCCCCCAAATTAACGCAAGTTACATTTGAACACTAATATCTGTCAGTATCTAGTGATGTATCTGAGCACCTGGCATTGTCAAAATCAGAGTCAGACAGACGCATCAGACTCTAACGCAAGGATGGCATATGCCTCCTCAGCACTATACGACCTCTGTAACACGATCACAATCACTTTAAAAAAAAAAAAACAGCAAATGCTGCTGTGCAAAAGCTGTTGATTATAGTGATCACTGGCAAGATAGGGGTTAATGGCTTTGAGTCTCACAATTTTACAAATCCCTACCTAAATCTCTCTACCCAAATCACAGATCTCTCTTCCTCTCACAAAAACAAGTGAAGAGGGGGAGAGAGATCCACACTGATCAGAGTCAATATTTACTAATATTGACCTGATTAGACAAATGGGGATCATAGTTATAAAATGTTATTGTAGGTGTAAGCTCTGATTGGATGTCCCTAGCTTGCCTCTATGATGAGGCAGGCTATGGACACCCCCAGAAACTCGATCATGCACTGCCTTTAGAAAGGCAGCGCCATCTTCGGAGCCACATTAGAAGGGGAGGTTACAGCTTATATTTAAATTATTTTTTTTCTCACTTTCCTTATTTTTCCTTCACTGAGTGCCTCGATCCCTCGAGGCAATCAGCAGTCTGAGCATCAGAAGCCTGCCCGATTGCTTCCGATGCTCTGCTAAACTGCCGGGCATCATGTGGAGCAATCCGAAAGACGTACCTGATATGTCCGCTGTCGGGAAGGGGTTAAAGGGTCTAGTTGTCCTGCCAATTTATTATGTCCTACATCCACATGCTAAAAAAAAAAAAAAGAAGAAGTCACCAGTAATATTACTCCTGAAAATCCTAAAATCCTTTTAAAATTTCTACCCTATCTAAAAATATGTGGAGCTCAAGTAAGTTCATCCTCTAATAAAAAAGGGACCAATGTCTAACATTTTCTCAAATTTCCACAGCATGGACATTACACAGTGTATTAAAAGCAAATGTATCATTTATGGAGACTTCTTGTGTGTTGACAACTGTTGGCATCTGTAGGCAAAAAAAAAAAAAGTTTTCGTTTGTATTTTAAAATCCTCAATATAAATGGTGGGATCTAATAAATTGACCTCCTTAAGATTGATTGCAGGGGTAAAAACTATTGACAATTGATTGCCATGAATATTTGTAATAAAATTGTTCAAGTCATCTATTGTCCCTTTCCAAATGATCAAGATGTCATCAATATACCTTCTCCAAAAGCACCTAGCCCGTGCCAAGAGTTATTGAACCAAATATTTATTCATTTTCCAAGAATATAAATAAACAATTATATATAATTTGCATAACTTGGCGCCAACTTTGTACCTATATAGACACCTGGTATTTACCTGCCTGAATCGGACAGTCAAATAGCTCTATACACACACACACACACACACACACACACACACACACTGTCTAATAGCTCTACACACACACACACACTGTCTAATAGCTCTACACACACACACTGTCTAATAGCTCTACACACACACACAC